AATAGTTGAGGGTGTCTCTTATGAAAAAACAAATCCTAAAACAGGCAATCTTTTCTTCTTTGCCACTTGACAGAAAGATGGGCAAGCAGGGACCGTGCCCTTAGCCTTGCGCCTCAGCCCCGTCCCCGCACTCCCTGCATTTGAGCATATTTCTTGAAATTTTCTAAGTTCCCCTCTGGTGTGGGGACGAGCTGTGGGTCCATCATATGCCCCAGGAACTCTGGGACTCATAGCCACCTGGCCGTCCTGGAAGGTTGTGGCCGGGCTTGCTTCTAAGGACGTGGTGGTGAGCAGGTGGCTCCCACCAGCCAGCATGGCATTTCGTGTATGGAGTCCCATGACACTGGCCACCAGAATGTTGTTGATATGCTCATTTCAAGTAACTCAAATTGTTTTTATGGACAGAGGCCCCTTTGCAAAAACATTTGCTCAGGGCCACGCTCTCTAGAGAAAGCCCTGGTGGGAGGAGAGGGTGAACATTGGAATTGAAGCTAAGTCAGCACATCAGAATAGAATGCAGTCAAAACATTTTTTGAAAGAAAAGCAAAAAACAAGAAGCAACCTTGCATGTATACATATCTATGTGTTATATATACATGATAGCTTCTTTTTTGGTCTTGATCTCCTGTTAAAATCTTACTTATATGCCATAAATTTGGTTTCCAGGGTCATAGTATCTTTTAAATATTCCTTTTAAAAATTTTTCGCTAAAACACCCGTTTCCCAGGAACCGGGTATTTTGGGGTAAAGGGAACACTGTTTGAGAAACACTGATTTAAGCAAACAGGGCTTTGTTGCAGAACTCAGAACCATGAACATGTTGACAAGAACCATGAAAAAGCAAACTGGGATGCACCCACTCTCAGTCTCATAAAACAAGGACCCCTTTTCACAGCATCTTATGGGACTAGATAGAAAAATGTTTTAAAAGAATAAATGCAGGAGTGCGCACGCGCACACAGGCACAGAAAGGATTTCTTTCCATGTAAGTTCTTAGGAGGGAAAAATAGGGAGCGATGGGTTTGTCCCTTGGAAGTCCTAGTTTTGTGAACACAGAATCAGAAAAGCAAGTTTAGCCCTTTGGTCTTGACACCCGGGCATCTCGCTGCAAGCAGGTGAGGATATTCCCCAGGGAAGATTCTATGATATGTTTAAGGTTCGGTCCTTTAGAGGGCTTTGCAGGTCTGACAGGTTTGTTTCCAATCCCAGGATACACCGAAGAGAAAATTATCCCTGTGATTAGCCTTGGTGTACGAGACAAGCAAACCCACCGGAGATGAGGAATACTTTAATCATTACATTTTGAGCTTCTAGGTGGGATTAATACAAATGCTTTTCTTCCTCATAAAGCATATAATAAAAATAACAAATTGGGAAGAGGAACCTATCTGTTGAATGTAGAATGACTGATTAAACGTTTTAAAAATATTAAACAAATTGAAATGGACCACCCTATATTATTATAATATGTGATCTGGGAGACAACTTTTTTGGTACATCTCGTTTTCTAGCTTTTAATACTCTGCTTCCCGGCAACTGGCATCTCATTTTCTCCTGGAATTTCTAATTTTTTTAATATAATTTCTCTGTGCATGTTCAAAAACGTTATCATCCACATGAGCCAATCCATTCACTTATAATATGTAGCTTGACATATAATGTAATCAACACAGCTAATGTCATAAGCACACACGGACATATAATTAAGTCTAACAGCCTTAGATATGGAAGATTTTAAGTCACAAGTTTTTTAAGTGGAGTAATTATAAATGGTCGATCATGACATATACTTGACTCAGCTGGATATTTCCCTGGAAGAAAACTGTTAATTTCCTGTGGTACTTTGTTCATGGCCACAAATTAGAATCCTGATGGCCTGAACAGTGGTTCTCACGTGTAGTCTCCAGACCAGCAGCATCAGCGTCACCTGGGACCTTGTTTAAAAAGCAGATTGTTAGGGCCGGCCGAGTGGCTCAGTTGGTTAAGAGCTCGCTCAAGAGTTTGAGCTCTGAGCAACAGCGGTTCGAGTCCAGCCCGAGCTGAGCAGCCGCTGAGCTGCCAACAGGTAGCAGGATGGCTCAGCTTAAAAAAAAAAAAGCAGATTGTTGGCCCCCAGCCCAGAGCTACTGAGTCACAAACTGCTGGATGGGACCCAAAAGGGATAAAATAAAACCAAATAGCTATATCTGCAGAGGAACATGCACCGGTGAATTCAGATGCTTCAGGAAAAGGCAGAATCTGTGAATTTTAAAATAAAGCTAGATTATACCACTTGGTAAGCTAAAAAGTAGACTGAGATATAAATCCTTGCTTCAGTCCCTCTCTTGAAATTGTGACCTGAGACTAACAGATACTGAGTCCATGGAAATGCTTTAAGTCATACACTCATCCACCTGCTAGAGCCAAGTTGCTTCTCAGATTTGGGGAAAATGACAGAAACTCATTTCTGCCTCCTCCCCAGATTAAAAGAAAACTATATAAATAAAGCTGAACCCCCAAAATGCACCCCCAGTATGTCTTTGGTGGGTGGTTCTTGCAAAATCGCCTGGCAGGCTGATGGACATGCCACACAGCCAGTAAGTTGTAAAAGGTGCTTTTCCCCTCTCTCCCAATGGCCTTGCAGTCATGCGCAAAGACCAGCCGAGCTGGGCTGAGTGGCTCTAACTGTGTCACTGTAGAGGTAGCAGCTAAAGAAGGTTCTGTTCTGAAAGGTGCCTCCTCTCCCTCACCCCCAACTCTTGCCTTTTCTCATCATGCTCACTCAATAATATCAGCAAAAGTGAATGCTCTTCAAAGTACTTGGGGGCCTCTTCTGGCATTCATAATTTCAAAAAGTGCTTTGACTCTTTTTTTACCCTCACCATAAAGGACCTTTAGCTATGAGCCAGCAAATTGCAAATAAAAACACATCTTAAAAGAAAGAACACTCTTGAATGCCATCTTTATTTCACAACTAGTCTACATGTCATGTTTTCTCTATTTCAGTTGCCTCAACTGTTAAATGGAGACGTTCTCAGCTAAGCATACTGGGTGAATAGGTGACCGTATTCTTTATTTGTGATAGAATTGGGAGGAGGTTGTTGGAGAGTCCAGGAGAAAGCAGCTTGAGAGTAAGGTATTATCCCCCTTAAACACTCACGGTTGAAAGCTGATAGAGCAAAAGGGAGAATGAAGCTGAGCTGTTAACAAACACAAAGGGACAGCACAACATGGAAATGTAAACTGTTCACATTTGCTGCCAGGGCAGCAGTGGATGCTACGTAATCGCTTGGCTTGAGACAGTTGTTCCTGGAGGCATCTGTGCATCCACAGGCATCATTTGTCCATGCACTGATAAACATGCAACTCCCCCTCCTCAAGAGAGCTGCTAAATCACATTTCAAACCCTAGTTAGCTTACCAAATCCAGCATTCATACAAACAACAGAAGAAGAAAAACAATTAGCCAAAAGCATCACATCTATTGATAAATGGCCATGAAAGGGATGACAAATCGTGATTTGCCACACATTGCTTCTGCGTTTTTATTTTCTGAGCCTTCTGACATCAGCACATTATTTCTGGCTGTAATTGGGATGTTATAAACAGTGTGGTTATTGATGTGCTCAGTAATTAAAGTATTGTATTCACACCCCTTGCAAATTGTAAATATTATTTCTGACCCTGAGAACACTGAGAGAAAACGATATTGGCATGCCTTCTCTGGGGACTTCCACTCTTAAAACAAAAAGCTGGCTTTGACGGCATGAGGAATAGCTCTGGAAGTCAAGATCATTCTCTAGGCAGTGGAACAACCAAGCTGCTTGCAGGGACATGTCTGCAGTCCACAGAGAGTAACTGCACACAGGTGTCTTTGAAAGCAGGGGTAATGCTGAGGTTTCCTTTTGCCAAATCATGTAAATGAACACCTTTATTCCTGCTGAAGGGCCAAAGACTTAAAAATATTCACCTCTTTTAGTTTCATTTTCCTATTCTCCACTAGGATGCAATATGAAATAATAGGAGACACAAACATGAATTCACATATATTGATGTTCACTAAAGTGTTGGTGAAATGATGGAAAAATTGGAAGCAACCTCTGGGCATAATCAGGGGTTGCTACATTCATCTGATAAAATACTCTGGTTAAATATTTTTTTTAAGATAATATTATGACATGAAAAAATGCTCAGTGAGATTAAGTAGAAAAGTCAGGAATACCTAAAATACAATCTGAATTGTGTAGGGCAGAAATGATATATACCTAAGGAAAAAAAAAGACAAAGAAAATAAACCAAAGTACACTCGTGGCTAAGTCAGAAAGGTGTGATTTAAATCATTATTAAAATTCTTCATTTTACACTTTTTGGTATTTTCCCAATTTTCTACAATAAGTATGTGTCACTCTTAATATTAAAAAATAACATGAGAACTTTCATTTAAGAATGCTTTAGACTTGGGCCAGCCGAATGGCACGATGGTTAAGCACTGGCTTGGGACGCCAGAGGGCCCCAGTTCGGATCCCACATATGAGGGCCAGTGACACTGCCCTCCACAGCTAAGATGCTGAACAGCAGCTTGACCTGGAGCTGGGCTGCCGTGAGTCACCGGCGATGGGGTAGGCTGCAGTGGGACTGGCCTGCAGCGGGTGTGAGCTGCCGTGAGCCACTGTGAGCAGCCGTCCAATGGCCAGTGAGGATCTGCCTCGCCCGGGAAGAGCGCAATGATGGTGCCAACTTGGGCCAGTGAAGCAACGTCCTCCACAACTAGACTGAAGAACAAAACGACAGCAACTTGTCTGTTCCCCTTCCCCCAATTCTCCAGCACTGTTCCCTTCCCCCCAATACCCCAATAAAAAAATCTTTAAAAAAAAAAGAATGCTTTAGACATATCAAGCAAACCTGAATGACAACTAAAATTATACCACTGGCTCTAACGTCTGCCTTTCTTTTGAGCTGGCCTCTGAGAACCCCTCGGCCATGGTACTTTATAGACATCCCACCTCTGTATGGGGCACTCACCTGGGAAGGTGTCGTCACACTGATTTCTGGAACAAAATTGTCCTCAAAGAAATTGATGATGTTCTCCTGCTGCAGTTCCTTTGTTGGGGTGACTTTAGGCAGAGGCGGGACAGGAGGCCCCTTCCTTGTCTACAAAGCATTAAACACAAACAGTAGTTAATTCAACCAAAGATGACATGAGAGACATGCAATAATGTCATGTGAACAAAGCTGGGATGATACACTGAACAGTGACCAAAATTTGTGTATGTGTATAGAAGTTAAGTCCACGTGATGCAGGTAAAGAATGCCGTTTGCTTGGGTGGCTCTGAGCACTGACAGGCACTGGTCCAATGAGAAAAATTCAGGCTCTGAGCGTCCATTCATCTCAACAAAAGGGCTACACACTGGGCTGTGGGGCCAGGTGACTGTGCCTCTAAAGTTAAACTGTGCAATACCTTCTCTGAAGCAAACTGAAAATGATTTCTCACTTCAGCAATAAATCAGAATTTTAAAATTAACATCAGATGAGAGCAGGTGCATTCAGGGTGGTATGGCCGTGGGTGGTGAGCACACAATGTGATATATAGATGATGTATTATAGAAATGTCCACTTGAAACCTATGTAATTTTACTAACCACTGTCACCCCAATAAATTTAAACAAAGAAAATAATAAAATTTAAAAAAAGAGGGAAGCTCTGCAAAAAAAATTAAAATAACATCAAGCAAGCTTTCCACTGGAATCAGTGAGACCACCTGTAGGCAGCATACATTGCATTTTCCACCCCAGTATTTTTTAAAGTAAGAGCTTCAGAGGTCTGTCTGTCTGCTACATGTATCTTCCTCTGACTACCTCAGTTTCAGCCACATGCATGGAAGCTTGGACTGAACTGGACTTCCAGGTTTCTTACAGGAACTTCATTTTTTCCCAAAGTCGTGAAGATCTGGGTGGCAATTCCTCTCCATATTTACTTTTCCCTGGCCTTTACTGTGTCTTTCAATCATTTGTTTTCTACACTTTTGTTAAGTGTCTGTCTATTCCTGTGCGATATAGGGCAGGCGATATAAAAAATATGAAATGGCCTAACCGTAATGGCTTTTCTTGGCCGACCTTGCCTCAAGTGTTACCTAAAGCGCTGCTAGAGGGAGCTTGCGTGGGGAAGGTAGGGTTAAACGGAGCCTGGAAGGAAAGGCGGGGAGGAGAGTAGGGTTGTGGAACAAGGTCTCACACACTCAAGCATAAGGTGTGTGAGGAATTAAAAATCCAAGGAAGAAAAAGATTTAATTCCTTAGTGATAATCACAAGGCCTAAAGCTTCACACCTCAAAGTCTCCCCAACCGGCACTCATCTCAACGCCCAACACTGTGGGACTCTCGTGGTGGGGTCATCCGGCCACCAGCTCTTCCAGTCGCCCCAATGTAGATGATCTCTTCCTACCTGCGATGGTGACCGCGGCCTCACTGGTGCGGGAGAAGCAGGTGCCAGAGTATGATTGGGACTGGCTGTGGGGCTCGGGATGGGGGATGCCTCCTCTGGCGGTGAGGGTGTCTTTGCGATGCGGAGAGGACCCGAATCACTAAATGAACACACGAGATTTAAAAAAGGGGCCTTCTAAGGGGCAGTACTTACCTATTAGGGGTCTTCCATCCCAGAGAAATCCTGAGGCATAACAGGTACTGTCTGTTATCTACTCCCCATTCCACGTTAATTCTGGTTATTAACAGTGATGTGGTAATTAGCACCATTTACTGACTGACCACTGTGTGCCAGACCCTGCTCATATATTATTTGTAAGTGTCACAATATGACTGCAGAGGGGTTAAAAATCCCTAAAGCGACTTCGTGATTTACTGGATCTGAATTCGGGCCGTGGTAAAGCAACACTTCTTCTTCCCACTGTGCCAAACAGGCTCTGTGAGACGCTTCCAAACACAAGCTGAATTAAATGAACTAATTTCACTGTTGATTTACAGGGGACTCTTGCTCTGTCACAATCTATACAAAAACCTACCCAGAAAATTGTAAATTTCATGTTAAAAGGCATCCTTTAGCATGTTAATTAAGATTTTGTAGGAATGCTTTCTGATAACATTTGGAAATTAATTCATTAACTGTTTCTCTTTTTACACCTTATAGAACAATGATTCAACTCAAGCACCTTGAAATGTGCAAACAAATTACGTGAGGGATGAAAGTGGAAATATTTACTGAGAACCCACCACATCCCTGGCACAAGGCCAAACGCTTGTGACCAGCCCAAATGTGATGATTAAGAAGGCACTTGGGATACATCCTGCTCTCTAAGAGTTTCAAGGGTCTACAGATTGAGGAAACAGGATCTGCACCCCAAATAAATGAGCATGTACATAGCATGGTCTACAAAAGAATGGGTCTTGTAGAGAAAAAACAGACACACCACGTGACTGGGGCTCTGTGCCAGCGATCATGGCCTCTATCGGGCACAGTCCAATCCATGCTTATAGGGACAGATCCTACAGAGCTCACTATCTCGTTCTGAGGAGGAACGTTGGAAAAAAAATGAAAGGAACATTTGTTAAGTGACCGTGGCCCCACTGTCTTCATTATACCTGATTGTACACAGATTCATTCGTCCCTTTCACCTCTCCTTAAGAAAGCAAGCCTTAATTTTTTTTATGTATTTCATTTCTAAAACACCCAATTTTTGATATTAAAATTCTTTCTTCATTCCTAGCTGTATTGGAAACAATAGCTCTACCCCTTTCATGTATTCTTGTAGGCAATATTCCTTCCCTTAGAAAGAAAAGATACAACTTGATGCTCACTTACTGCAGCAGCCGTAGCAGACTATGAGTGCAGTTAATCCAAAATGCAAAGGAAGCAATCTTAGCTACCTCCAGAGAGATCCAAACACTGACATATAGAGATGCTGGCACATGTGTAAGAGTGCATGTGTTTTGATAAATGTGTGTGTATGAGTGTATACAGTGATGTTAAAATTGCAAATATGGACTGTCACGGTTACATATTACCTTAAAGCTGTTTAGTTCCATAGCATCTTTTTTTCCTACTGATTAAAAAATTTGGGATCTTTAACCTGAGAAGCTATTGGACTTATTCAAGATAAGGCAGAGCATGTTAACTGCAGAGTCATAAAACTGAAAGCTGAGTGTTTGTACTTCCTGCTCAGGGTTCCCTAGCCTGCGTTCCCTGAATACACAATGCCTGAGAAGAGGAGAAGAAGAGGGATTCCAAAATCACAGCAGAAAGCCGGTATGAAGCCAAATCATGGCAACGCAGACAATTCACCTATGGATCACAGAGTCTTCCATGTATTTGCCATGTGCAAAATACCCATGTGCAATAAAAGCAAAACTATGCAATGTTTGTGAGGTGGAGTTAGGAGGCGAGATGACAGCGATGTCTCACCTACTTCCTTTTTCCTTTCCCCATAATGGATTCTTTAAAGATGTGTCACCAATGATTAGTACCAGGACTAACTGTTGTGAGTTTGAGGAATTCCTTTCTTCTCCAAAGAAAGTAACAAGTGCACAACGAGAAATTATATGTTAAAAATGTATACCATTGCTCTTAGGTCCCATGGAAAGCAGATTGGCAATGACACTGTCTATTCTGACAATGACAAAAGCCCTTGGTAGGTAAATCCATAGAAAGATAAATATAGACGCACAGAACTAAGGCTGATATCAGCCAGCCTCTGATGAACATGGCCTACCTGGGAGCTCCTTGAATGGTGAAGGCCTTGTCAGCGTGCTGGTCGCCCAGTTTCGTCATCACTTCATACAATTTGTGGCAAAGCTAATGGGACAGGGGCAACTTGTCTATTAGCTGCAAGTCATTCTGATGCATATTCAGGCTATTGCCCCCCACCCCCAAGGAATTATTTATTGAAAAGCTAAGAATCTTATAATAGCATGGATGGTCTCTGCATATGGTCCAATTTAAATTTCATGTCAAAACTGAAAAGCCACAAACACAAATAAAGTAAAAAATTTACTAACCATTTACTAACCAGAGTACAGAGCAGAAAACAAAAAACTACTGTTTACATTGACTCTACGAGAGATAAAGTCATCCACCACCCTGCTAAACTAAGAAAATACCATAGAGCTGTACTGACAGCAGAGCTGCTAATTATCTGAATATTTGGAGACCAATTTTTCCTCAACATAAAGTGCCACTTGAAATTTTTCCTCAACATAAAGTGCCACTTTAAAAACCGACTGGGGAAAAAACAAACAAACAAAAAAACTGTGAAACTGTGACAATGAAAAAAATAATAATTTCAGAAGAAAAATAAAAGTAGCCAATGTTTCATGACAGTATTTTTGTAAACCTAAAAACTAAAATCTTTGCAAGATATCGAGAACTATGTGGTCACAAAAAAATGTAGAAATATTACTGAGAGTAATAATACACTATTAAAAAAATGTGGAAGTGAGCGAATTCTTTGCATAAGGCTACACATTTCATATGCTTCCAGAATAGATGTTTATTCACTTTATATTCCTTAAGTAAAAATAATCATCATTACTCACCACCGCAATTTCCTTATGAAACTTGGCCTCAAGGCTAGAGACATTTTTGAAAGTATTGACATAAAATCCAACTCGTCTGCCATGTGGCGATACAAAGAGGAAAGAATAGAAGTCCAGTTAGCAAAACTGTATGTTAAATGGCAATGAAATATATTAAAAATATATTTTGAGGAAAATTACATAATCGATCCAGGGATGAAAGAATAGTTGAGTGATAAATTCATATCACCGATAAGACTTGCTTTTTCTATGGTTTAATGTGTACCTTAAATTTCTACCATGTTCCACTCAATCTTCTTCTTTTTTTTAACTTTATAAGATTAGTTTATTCAGATTTCCTTCATTTTTTTTCAGCTTTATTGAGGTATATTTGACAAATAAAATCACTCAGATATTTAAAGTGTACATCATGGTGACTTGATATACATATACATTGTGAAAGGATTCCCTCATCTGGTTAATTAACACCTCCATCATCTCACATTTATTATTACTATTATTATTATTATGAAAACCTTTAAGTTCTAGATTCTTAGCAAATTTCAATTACATAATACAGTATTATCAACTATGGTTATCCCCTTTTACATTAGATCCTCAAACCTGATTCATCTTATAGCTGAAAGTTTGTGCCCTTTTACTCACCTCTCCCTGTTTCCCCCACCCCCCAGCCCCTGGCAATCACTTTTCTACTTTCTGTTTCCATGAGTTTGCCTTTTATTTTATTTGAGGTTTCACATATAAGTGGTACCACACAATATCACCCCACACCTGTCAGAATGGTTATCATCAAAAAGACAAGAAATAATAAGTGTGAGCGAGGATGTGGAACTTCCGTGAACTGTTGGTGGGATTGTAAATTGGAGCAGCCACTATGGAAAAGAGTGTGGACGATCCTCAAAAAAATTAAAAATAGAACTACCTTATGACCCAGCAATCCAGGATCTTGAAGAGATATACACACTCCTATGTTCATTGCAGCATTATTCACAATAGTCAAGTTATGGAAAGAACACATGTGTTCATCTCCACCAAAGAATGAATAAAGATGTGACAGACAGACAGACAGATAGGTAGACAGTGTATGTGTGTGTGTGTGTGTGTGTGTGTGTGTGTGTGTGTGTACAGGTTATTCATACATGAGAAAAAAGGAAACCCTGCCATTTGCAACAGGATGGATGGATCTTGAGGGCATTATGCTAAATGAGATAAACCAGAGAAAGACAAATGTTTCACTTAACGTTCTATATTTACAGTGATCACGTGTCCCTCATTCCACATATTTTTTTCTTTCAATTGATTTAGATTATATACATAATCATCTATATGTTTGTGTTTTTTGTGAATATATATGTGTGTGTGTGTGTGTATATATATATATATATATATATATATATATATATATATTCATAAAGAAACTCCTGGCACAGTATGTTTGGGAAATAGTAAGTACTGGAGAGGGTCAGGCCAGAAGCCTGGAAGATGAGAACCTGGTGATGAGAACCTGTGCTCTGGGACAGACAACGAAGCACAGTGTTTATTTGCAGCCCCGCCATGTATGAAATAGGAGAAAGGAGAGGGTCTGGACCTGCATTTGAGGGAACTAAGGCAGCAGCTGGACAGGAGAGGCTGCAGATGCCCAGGCAACCCGGCACAGAGGCACCAGACTCATCATATTGTTTGCAGAGAAGTTTCCTAGGTACTTAAAAGTGGCAACCCAAGACCCCTTTTCTAGGACCCCAATCAACTGGACAGTAGCTGCTCATAACTTTCCTCATTTATTTTACTCAACAAAGGGCCTATCCAACTCTGGGTGCATGCCTAGTGGTGGGCTAAGGTGGCTCCAGGAATGAACAATCCCGTTAATGGAGGCTGATTAGTTCCATTCACACTGGTTAAGAGAAAGAAGCCGATTTCAAGATAGCATGTAAATGTTAAAGTTATCATACAAGGCCACACATGACTAAATATCCAAAATGAATAGATCTGACAGAAAGAGCTAAAGGAACTGAGAGCTCAGGGGAGTAACCAGCTCTGTGCCAGCTGCAAACATCTATTTGAGAAGACAAACAGGCTGCCCTGAAGAACAGGTCAGATTTAAACAGAAGGCGAGTACAGATGTGGGGGAGGGTAGTTGAACTTGATTGGTGAGTATTGTTTTATTTTCATTGATTTTCCCTATGATAACCAAACCCTAAAGAAGATCTAGGAATGAAAACTGTGCACAGCTTTATTATTAAAATAACTTTCTCAAGTGTAAATGCTGCATGAAAGGCACACCCAGCAGAAGGCTTTGACGTGCATGGCCAAATTGCTCCCTCCAGGGCTGGGCCTTCTTGTGCACTGCCTCCACTTTGAACATGACTGCATACCAAACCATTGTAAATCTGATAGACAAGAGTCAGCATCTTTCTTTTAACAAAAGTCAACACTTGTTTGTTCATTTATTTATTGCCCATTTGTATTTCTCATTTTATGAGTAATCTATCTTCTTCTTTTTTTTTTTGCTTATTTCTTAGTGCTTATTTCATTCTTACTTGTAAGGGATTTTATATTAAACATATTGAACCTTGGATACATTTAGCAAAAACAAGAACTTCCATTCTTTTATCTTTAAATTTTGTTTGCCGATATACAGCATATATATCAACTTGTTTATATCAGTTATTATTTAGAGAAATAAGTGGGGCAGTACTTGAAAGAAATGCCTTATTTAGAATGACTGAACAAACATCTATAATTTTCTAAAATTTTTATGTTTTCTTTTTAGAATTTAGAAATTAAATCAACTAGGATTATTTAATTTAGAAAAAAAAGTGTTCAATATTTTTAATGCAACTTATCATTCAGTGATTTACTTCAATTTATGAAATGAGAGACTCCTTCCAAAAGGGGACTGCCTCACTATTATAGGCTCAGCACTTACTACAGCAGCTGGTACAGAGCAGGCATGCAGTAATATTCCATGAATGAATCAATGAATGAATGAACGAACGAACAAATGAACAAATGCGGCACCCACTGCACTAGAAGGGCATGTTCTGACTGTAACCTTAGCCTGTGAAAAACTAGTGTCACCAGCAGTGAAATACACATCCACAAAGAGTGCCAGGCTCCGAATTCTGATATTATCTGCTTGGGAGGTTTCATTTCACAAGTTCTTCATAAACATTCTTCATAAAGTCTAGAGACTTTACCATCTCCCTAAAGGACTTCTTTGAGGCATCCTCATACCCCTTCTGGTTGGCTGTCAAGACCAACTAAATTTCTTTTTTTTTTTTTTAAAGATTTTATTGGGGAATTGGGGGAGGGGAACAGTGCTGGGGAATCGGGGAAAGGGGTACCGACAAGTTGCTGTCATTTTGCTCTTCAGTCTAGTTGTGGAGGGCGTCGCTTCACTGGCCCATGTTGGTATTATCATTGCGCTCTTCCCAGATGAGGCAGATGGGTCGCCAGCCTCTGGACGGCCACTCACAGCAGCTCTTGGCAGCTCACGCTGGTTGCTGGCCACACACGGTAGCCCATGGCAACCCACTGCAGCAGGGGCTGCAGCCTACACCTTCATGGGCGACTCACAGCAGCCCAGCTCCAGGTCGAGCTGCTGCTCACCATCTTAGCTGTAGAGGGCAGAGTCACTGACCCTCATGTGGGGTCCAAACCGGGGCCCTGCTGCTCAGAGCTGGCGTCCCAAGCCAGCTCTTAACCACCACGCCACTCGGCAGGCCCCCAACTAAATTTCTTTATTAAGACGTTTCTTTGTTCTTGGAAACAGTACAAAGGATTAATAGCTGAGCTTAACACAACCACAGCTCTCAGGCCAGGACACCCTCCCTCTGCACGGCCATAAAAAAACCTGCCTCCCCTTGGGGGTGTTCAATGCTTTTCCCTGGGCCCCCTATAGGGGAGGAAGCATCCTGGCCATCCCTCACTCACCATGGGGGTAAAGTGGGAGAAAGAAGAGTTTTCTTCCATTTTTTCCCCCTGATCCTCTGAGCTCATTTGTACTCCTCTGAGATTTATGCATTCATATTCAACCTCTTCACAGCTCATCTATCATCAACCTCCCAGCCACCCCCCACCCCTCCTCCTCACTCAACCCCATTCACTATCTACAATGGCACGTGCCCCATGGTTTCCCTCTCTCTCCTTCACCAAATCTTAACACTAATACAGGCATTCATTTGACTATGCACCCAAATAACAAACTCCCAACTCCCTGACCTCCCTGAGCCCAGTGTCCCTATTATACACATTCTGCAGTGACTTACCACTGCATATCCTGGATCTTGTCATCAATCACAATTGCCCACCTTTGAAATGAGATAACTCAGCAGCCCACCCACTAACCTAGTTTTTTAAGCCTGGAGATCCTTCATTCATTATTCATTGATTTCATTCCAGCTGCTGACTTTTGGGGGCGGGGGAGGGTTGTGGGGGTTAATATATTTGCATTGGAACATGCCCAGCACTGTGGCTGATGCTACTGTATTAGAACCTAATACTAAGCACATGAACCTTCTCATCAGATTTTCTGTAATGCTGGTAGCTTAGGAATAGTTTTATTTTTTTATAAAGAATATATTTGGGGGGAAATGAGAAAGTAGTTTTATTTTACTAATATTTAATATGTGGGTTGGTACTTGCTCCGTATGTCAGAAGGACCCTGGTTTTTTGGGAAAGGAGAGTGGAATTCATGCTACTTGTTTGCTTTTTAAAAATTATTTCATTTTTATTTTGGGGGGGAGTTTCATATCTAATCATCCCACCTCAGTCCCCCACTCTGAGTGCTTTTTAAATAGTAGAGAATCCAACTTTTTAAAAATCCCTCTGAGATAACTGCCCCTTTTCTCCCAGGCTGTTGTCTCCTCAGGCTCAAACTTTTGCTCTACCAAGCCCCGTGGGACACCCCTCAAAATGTCTGTCAATGCCCTCACCCCTTACTTACCCCACATACTCAGTCCTAAATCATCCCACCTCCACCACAGCCATCTTCTCAAAATGACAAAGGTTATTTTAAAAGGCTTCCGTTGCCTCATCATCCCCCTATATCTGCTACAATTCCTCATGCCCATCATA